GTCAATCCCTACGGAGATTATCTGTCATGTCAAATATCAGTAGCGTTAAGGTCCGCAACTGCGGGACGTTACCACCACCCGCCCCCTTTGGTGGTAATCTGTGGTCATTCTTCTGTGCACAAGCTCTTATGTTCCACCACGTTTCCTCACCCAATTGTGGTGCGTCCCATGTGCTTCACCGCAGTGGTCAGCTCAGTGTGCTCACCCACCTGTGAGCTTCACCCTCTGCTGACGCCCCTGTGCTAATCCCCCTGCGCTCAGCGGCATTTGAAGTCCTAAATAATTTTTTTCAACAGCTTCACATATCCCTGACGCAAAAAAGTGACTTTATTTTGCAATGCGACGCTCAAAGATCGGTCTACCTGAGGCGCTCTCTCAAACATTCGATGTATTGATCATTCCGTGCTATACCTCAGTGGGATATTCTAAATTTGGCTTTTCTTTCTGAGAGAGGGTACAGACACGATGATCCTAATTGACTTCTTATGTGCTGTGCATTTGCATGAAACTGTTTCCAATTCGGCACCAAGGAGACCCAGTTATTCTACCTCTTATGATGGTAATCAAGGGTTGGGTAATCAGGAATGCATAAAACCTGTAAAAGTTTGGCAGACATTGCACTGAGCGGTGTCATTTGCGGAGTCGGATACATATAACAATAATCACTCCAAAACAACAACACAATATTATACTGGTCATTTTAAATACACGACTGTTTGTGGGACACTGTTATGCGCAATTGGCTGCCGCATTTCGCCCACAAATATAGGGTCAATTCATTTTACAGTCTTTTCTGTGAAGCAATTTGAGACGTCGAGAAGTCGTGAAAAGCGCTATATCAAATATACCAAATGCAAGGATTATAATCATTATATTATTATTAAATGATATTATAATCCAGCAGTACCTCAACAGCGCAGGAAAGTCAGCGAGGCAACACAGTTTTGCCATCTTACGACTTACATTGTCTGTGTTTAGTTAGCAAGGATGCATACCTCCAGAGAGATAGTACACATTGTATTTCAATGAAAGGGGAATTCCCATTTTTGGTGGGTTGCACAGAACTACTAGTGTTTAGTTCGGATCATCGCAATCGTTACGTGTTTGAAAATGACACACAACTGAGCGCAATAAAAATTAGTGAACCGTACTTGCAATTCAGGTCACCAAATTATGATGCGGAGGAGGCTGGTGTGTGTCATTAGAAACGTGCCCCCGTGCTGAGGATTGCGCTTTGTAAGTGTTTCTTTGTGTGTTTATGTGCATGTTTAAAGCCGTAAAGTGCCTTCGGTGCCTAGGGTGACGCTGTGGGTTTGTGTATGTGTTTGTTAGAGGCTGCAATGTGCCTTCGGTGCTCAGGTTGGCGTTGTGTGTTTGTTTGTATGCCTGTGTTGATGTTCGAGTGAGTCTGTAATGTGCCTTCAGTGCTGAGAGCGCCGCTGAATGTGCGCGAGAGTCTGCAAATATGTCCCGAAAACTGAGTCAATCGCTGTGGTTGTTTGCATAGTGCTGAGAATGACATTATGTGCGTATGAAAGAGAGTCTATTGTGCCTCTACGGTATAATAATAGTGTGTGCGTCTCTGTCTGTGCGTGTGCTTGTATGCACAGGATGCTTTAAATGTGCTGAGTTGTGAGAATGGAGCTGTGGTTGAGTGATCTCCTGTAATGTGACGCCAGTGCTGAGGGTCCCGCGATGTGTGTTTGAAAGCTGTTGTAATGTTTCCCTAGCGCTGAGAGTGGCGCTGTGGGTGAGTGAGAGCACAAAAGTTTGCCCCAATACTGAAGATGGTGTTGTGTTTGCGAGAGAGGCTGTAACGTTCCTCCAGTGCTGAGGGTGGTGTTCCGTGTGAGTAGGTGTGCGCATGCGTATGTGAGAGAGCCTATAATGTGCCCAAGTGCTAAGCGTAGCGCTGTCAGGGAGTGAGGGAGAGATAGAGGCAGAAGTGTGCCGCCAGTGCTAAGGGCGACGTTGTGTTGGTGTGTATGTGCGAGAGAAGCAGTAATGTGCACCCGGTACTGAGAGTGTCGCTGTGGGTGTGAAACAGAGTCTGCAACGCGCCTCCAGTGCTGAGAGTGGCGCTGTGTGTGAGAGAGGCTGCAATGTGCCTCCAGTGCGAAGAGTGGCGCTATCTGTGTGTGTGTGCGCGCGCGCGTGTGTGTGATTATTTGATTATCAGCTGTAATGTTTCCCC